GAACTAACTTATTTAATTTATGGCAATTATACTGTTTTCCAGCGTGAGCCTTTTTACTGTTTAATACAGCAATGGGTGTGAAATCTAAGCCCTAAAGCCAATGCACCTTCTAGTTGTATATAATCATGTTTGTAAACCATATACTGTTTTGTAAAGATAGCTAATGCAGATGTTATGGTTTTATTGGGTGATTTTGTTTTTGTATGTGCTGTAAACTGTATTTTTTTTTTTTTTTATACTTTTGTATTACTGATAATGTCTGGTGGTGTGGTTTTTATTTTTGTTTGTTTTTATTGTTATTATTTTATGGATTGGACTGGAAGAGTTTTTAACAAGAGTGTTTTTATCACACCGTGATTTACTTGAAAGATATTTAATAATAAAATCTTTCTACAATTTTAAATATATAGTTTTGGACTATACATTGTTTGTTATATACTTTTTTTTAATTGTTTTTTTCTTGTTCTTTTATGTAATAAGGTTTTACAACAGACAAGAACAGTAGAACACCGATATCAATTAACTAAACATCAAATTGTAGAAAATAGTCAATCTGTAACTAAAGCTGTTTCAAAATCTCCCTTTTTATCCTCAGTGTTGCTATTTGGGTTTAATTTGTTCAAATTGAGAATTTAGAGAAGAACCCTGCTTATAGTGAAGTGGAAAGTCAGATGCTATTTGGATTTGGGTTTTATCGAAACAGTCATAATAAAGTGTTCACAAGAAACCACTGCTGACAAGGCTCCCCAGTAAATAATAGTAATTTTGCTAATATTCAAAAAAAAGGTGAGGAGTAGGGAGAAAATCTATTTATAATACTTAGAAAAGTCTGTGTCATCAGGTGTCTCCATGTAAACCAAAGCTCAATAAAAAGCTTAATAAAAACTAACCATATTTAAGCAACATTAAATGGACATACAATGATTGTAAGAAGCAGTACATTAAAGGGAAACTATAGTCTAGGAATACAACATTGTACTATAGTACCCTTTAGTGTCCTCCCACAGCGCAGAAAGGTTTAAAAACTTTTAATTCACCGTTCCTCTTACCCCTGTGATCTAATGTGAATGCGTGGTGAGCGCATTTGAATCAATGCTTTCCTATGGGGTTTTAGTGGAGGTTGGTTATCCTTATGCACAGCAGGTTAGTCTGGCAACCAAAAGATGCCTAATGACCCGGAAGCTGTCTGATAGACAGCCAGTAGAGGAGTTGACCCTGCAAGGTAATTTATTGCAATTTCTTCATAACTGCAATAATTACCATTGCAGAGATAAATTGACATTGGCACTGCACCTGCAAACTAAGTGAGATAGAAAATAAATTTAAGAACCACAAAACTAATGACACACCTAGATAATGCTAATGATTTCACAATACAATAGAGGAGAATAGTATTTAAAGGGACACTGTAGGTACCCAGACCACTTCAGCTTATTGAATCTGTCTGGGTGCAAACTCCCATCACCCTTAACCCTTCAGTGGTAAATATTGCAGTTTTTATCAACTGCAATAATTCTCTGAGGGTTATCTCCTCCTCTAGTGGCTGTCTACTAGACAGCCACTAAAGGGACTTCTGGAATTAAAAGAGACTTTTGGTCTGTTATCTGACGCTGGACGTCCTCATGCCTGCATAAGGACCCCCCACCGTCAGATTTTCCTTATAGGAAAGCTATCGGATGACCCAACAATGTATACATCAAATCATAAGTTTGGGCCTTGGGCATAAAAAAGGGAGAGGAATGAGAACAAACTGTGGAGAAGCAAGAAACCTCCAGTTATCAGAGAAAAGCAGAATCCTGGGCTGCTGTGCACCAGTCTGGTTGCCTGCTGTATCTAATCCAATTTAGACTTAAGTTTGCTAAGGTAACCAGATCTAATGAGATAAATAAAGTTATCTCGTAGTTCAGCCATGTCTTATCCATATCATTCACTTACACAATTATCAGTTTAATTTCAGTCTTAATGGGAAGGATCAATTGTTTCCATTATTTTGTAAATTCCATGCTGCTTATTGCATTCTCACTGCATTCTCACATTGCGTTATCAAACTGTTCTCTGCATTGGTGAGCCTTCCAAAAGTCTGGTATTTCATGGATAACCAGGTAGCTATTTGTTTGTTTCCAAACTTTTGTGAGTTTATTGCACTTCCACCATTGATGAAAGGAAAGGACTACTAAAGTTACCCAGGCTATGCATGAAGATGTACAATGTCACCCGATAGCCCATAGGAAAGCATTGTATAATGCTTTCCTATGGGAAAGTCCTAATGTGTGCGTGGCCATTGGAATTGCGAAAGCGGAGCCCTTGAGGGTGGCACTGTAGGAAGCTATAGTGCCAGGAAAATAACTTTGTTTTCCTGAACTATAGCTTCCCTTTAAATTCTACTCTCATGGCTGTCATACTGACCACTATTAGAGGCATTTCCACAGCACTCAGCATAAAACTAGATCATGTGGAAGCCCCCATAGCAAAGCATTGATTCCATGCTTTTCTATATGGAAGGTTTGATACGTGCATGGTCAGTGGCATACACACGATCCATGGGGCCCTGGTGCGAAAATTGATCCGTGGCCCCCCGCGCGCTTATTCTGCACGGGCCGGGTCGCAACACATGGCGGCGGGCACCTGGTCGCAGGGCAGCGACCACAGTATGTACGCCACTGCATGCAGATACATACACTTAAAGGGACACTCCAGGCACCCAAACCACTTCTGCCCATTGGAGTGGTCTAGTTGCCAACTCCCACTACCCTTAACCCTGCAACTGTAAATATTGCAGTTTTCATAAACTGCAATATTTACATTGCAGGGTTAACTCCTCCTCTAGTGGCGCTCTACTAGACAGCCACTAGAGGGCACTTCCTGGTTTATAGCACAGGTTTTCTTTGCTATAGCGTCGCTGGATGTCCTCACCCTATGGACCCTATGTCCTCACAATGCTTTCCTATGGAGAGGTCTAATGCGTGTGCGCAGCATTGCCGTTAATGCGCATTAGGTCTCCCTCCGCCGGCAGCCGCACATGTGCAATCTGTCTCCCCTGCCAAATGATGTCGGCGGGGGAGGAGCGTGGGTGGACCCTAAACCAGCGCCGAGTGACATCGGTGCTGGTCTCAGGTAAGTCACTGAAGGGGTTCTAGCTGAGAGGTCGTTCGGGCAGAGAGATCCCCAGCGCCAACAGAGTCCAGCCCTGGAAAAAGGTAAGTGCTGAAGGGGTTTTAATACCACACACACACACATACTCAGTGACAGACATACATACACTGTCACTGACAAACACACACTCACTAACAGACACAAAACAGACTCACTAACAGACACAAACTAACGTTCTCAGTAACAGACACAAACTAATATGCTCAGTAACTGACACACACTCAATAACAGACACACAAACTAACACACACACACACACAAAACTAACACACTCACTGACACACTAGCAGACACACACTCAACACACACACAAACACACAACTAACATACTGAGTAACAGACACACACACTGACACACAACAAATAACACACACTTTTTTAAATTTATTTAATCCCCTAGTCTCCCTACATTTGGGAGTGCTGACGGGATTTCCTGGGGTGAGGAACCTGTGACAGGGAGGGATGCAAAACCAAGGAGTTGGTTATATATATTTGGGAGTCCAGGCCAATTCCTTGGTTTTGCACCCCTCCCTGTCACAGGTGCCTCATCCCAGGGCCCTATTTAGCCTTGTACTGCAGAGAGCCCCAGATGGAATTTTTTTCCCCAAGTAGGTTAATCTCATAAGAGCAGACATTAGGCTGTTAGTGTAGGACCTGCCAAAGATGGGGTACATTGACGTTGTGGCAGGCTTATGCAATGTATGATCATATAATGTAACTAAACCCCCATTATTTTTGCCTAGATTAGGTGTTTTTAAAAAAACAAATAAAATCTTTCAACATTAAAGTTGCTGTTTAGTGGATATGTGAGTGCGCTGGATTTTGTGTATTGTATTATTTGGCCCCCAGCAGCACCCCCATTTATGCATGTTAAGGTGAGTGCAGCCAATCCCCTCTTGTTTTTATATATATATATATATATATATCTATAACAGGACTCTGATTTCTCTTATTTTCTTTAAGGGACATGCATCACTTGGCAATATGTTTTTAAAACCAGCAAGCAAACATGATAAAAGAAACATAAACAAACCACAAATAAAGCATGAAAAACTTTGAACAATATGTAATCAACAGTTATAAACTTGGTCAAATTGCATTGTTGGGCACGCCTCTGAGCTAGCGAAGTTTCTTCAGCCTCCACACTTCAGACAAAAACAGGGCATCATTGTGTAGCAGCAGAAGAAGAGATAAACCTGACGGGAGCCTGCACTGTATGAATTACACCAACTCGCTGTCTTTTTTTCCCCTGTCAAGATGTTGTAATATCTTCCAAACACCTAATCTAGGCAAAAAATAATGGGGGTTTAGTTACATTATATGATCATACATTGCATAAGCCTGCCACAACGTCAATATACCCCATCTTTGGCAGGTCCTACTCTTACAACCTTGGGGAAATCCTTCCATCTCGAGTTCTCTGCAGTACAAGGCTAAATAGGGTCCTGAGATGAGGCACCTGTGATAGGAAGGGGTGCAAAACCAAGGAGCTGGCTAGACTCCTAAATATCTATATGGGAAAACAAGGGTCTGTCCGCACCAAAGTAGCTGTTTAGTAGATAAGGGAGTGCGTTGGATTTTTATTTTCACTGTACTTATTGGCCCCCAGCAGCACCCCATTTAAGCATGTTCAGGTGAATGCAGCCAGCTCCTTGTTTTCCTATATATATATATTTAGGAGTGTAGCCAGCTCCTTGGTTTTGCACCCCTCCCTGTCACAGGTGCCTCATCCTAGGGCCCTATTTAGCCATGTACTGCAAAGAAATCGAGATGGAAGGTTACAAAGTTGTATTCCTAGCACTATAGCTCCCTCTGCTTTCCTTATCTCACGACCCTGCACCTGTTCACTTAAACAAGGTGTTTCCAGCAGCATGTAAACTTGGCGATATGGGATGGGTGAAGGAACAGTAAAACACATCTGGTGGGATTGTCCTCGTATAGTGCCGTATTGGGATGCAATCAAAATTTTAGGTTAAGTGCCACATCGATTTAGAGAATGTACTCTTAAATTCCACAACAGCCATCGTAGCATCTCATCAAGTCCTTGGTGCCTGCCCTCTGGCAATAAGATAAAGCCTGATGAACTGATGAAGAGGGTGGAGGACAATTCAGATGGCAGAATCCATGCATGCATCCTTGACAGGGAATTCCACGAAACATGTCGAGCATTGGCAGCATTTGATGAGGTTTGTGGATGTGTTGGACAGGCCTGTGAAGGGAAGGAGAGGGGGGCGTGGGCTTTGTAACAGTCATTGCACTCCTAACAACTTTACCGTTTATACTCATTACTTACTCTTTCCTGTATCCTTTTCGTTACTCTTTTCTATTTTGTGATAGCTGCAGTTCTAGAAAAGGAAGACTGCTGGGAAATAGCGAGAGCATTGTGAGCCAGGACAAAATATACGCTCTCTTTATGATACTGCTTTTTGATCATGCTTTAGGTAGAACGTTGTCAAGACCGTCTCGTGTAATATTATGAGATCCTGTTTACTGTGAGGAATTGTGACCGCCTTTTTATGTGCACAGTTAAAGTGTATGTTTATCAAATGCATCCATTTCCACGCTATAAATTTTGGGTTTTCACCAATATGAAGCTACTACCTTAATGCCAATTTGTAATTAACCTATCTTGGCATGACCCTGTGTGGTTCACAAAACTGACAATTACCTTGGATTCTGCGTGTCCACTACATTCCACAATCTTTTTTTATTTTTTTATGCTTTCCTCTATAAAAGCTTTGGTTTTCAAAAACACCAAACCCTTGCTGTTCTTACCCAACGAAGGAGTCAAATGTGCATGCGTGTGTCGACCATCGCAGGCACATTAGGGCCTACCCATATGAAAGCATTGCAATGCTTTCCTATAGGTATATCACTGACGCTGGATGTCCTCATGCATGGACGACCAGCATCAGTTAGGCAAGTCGCCTAGCAAGCAGGAGGTGCCTCTAGGGTCAATCCTAACACTGCACTGTAATTATTGCAGGTTCTCAGAAACTGCAATAATTAACATTGCAAGTTTAAGGGGACAGGGACTTTGCACCCAGACCACTTCAATGAAAGTGGTCTGGATGCCTTTAGAGCCCCTTTAAAGTTATAGTCTATAACTTTACCAAAACCTTACCATAATTTGCAAAGATTTAGTTTTAAAATAAATTCACTCATTGCTATATTTGTCCTAAAACTTCAAAAATGTAACTAAAATCCTAGACGTATTAAGCATTTTATCAATAAAGACGAAGTAGGGCAGTTATACTCAAGTAGAGCAGTTATTCTCATGTCAAATGATGATAAACAGTAATACTTCTAGATTATCTGCTACTTGGTAGTATTTCACTCACTGTCAGCTTTATACATGAGACTTAAATAAAGATTTTGTTTTCCAACATTGTTGAATGGGTAAAGCAGTGGCTGAGTGGCAGGCAACAGAGGGTTGTAGTCAGTGGAGTATATTCAAAGCATGGGCTTGTCACCAGTGGGTTACCTCAGGGATCTGTACTTGGACCCATTCTCTTTAATATTTTTATTAGTGATATTGCAGAAGGTCTTGATGGTAAGGTATGTCTTTTTGCTGATGATACTAAGATATGTAACAGGGTTGATGTTCCAGGAGGGATAAGCCAAGTGGCAAATGATTAAGTAAACTAGAAAAATGGTCAGAATTGTGGCAACTGACATTTAATGTGGATAAGTGCAAGATAATGCATATTGGACGTAAAAACCCAAGGGCAGAGTACAAAATATTTGATAGAGTCCTAACCTCAACATATGAGGAAAAGGATTTAGGGGTGATTATTTCTGATGACTTAAAATTAGGCAGACAATGTCATAGAGCAGCAGGAAATGCTATCAGAATGTATTAGCAGTAGAAAGAGGGAAGTGCTCATGCCATTGTACAGAACACTGGTGAGACCTCACTTGGAGTATTGTACACAGTCCTGGAGACGGTATCTTCAGAAGGATATTGATACCTTAGAGAGGGTTCAGAGAAGGGCTACTAAACTGGTTCATGGATTGCGGGATAAAACTTACAAGGAAAGGTAAAAGGATCTTAACATGTATAGCTTGGAGGAAAGACGAGACAGGGGGGATATGAAACATTTAAATACATAAAGGGAATCAACACAGTGAAGGAGGAGACTATATTTAAAAGTCGAAAAATTACCACAACAAGAGGATATAGTCTGAAATTAGAGGGGCAAAGGTTTAAAAATAATATCAGGAAGTATTACTTTACTGAGAGGGAAGTGGATGCATGGAATAGCCTTCCAGCTGAAGTGGTAGAGGTTAACACAGTAAAGGAGTTTAAGCATGCGTTGGATAGGCATAAGGCTATCCTAACTATAAGATAAGGCCAGGGACTAATGAAAGTATTTAGAAAATTGGGCAGAGTAGATGGGCCAAATGATTCTTATCTGCTGTCACATTCTATGTTTCTAAGTGTATCTATGTTGTATTATTGCTCTTTATATGCACCAACTGTGTAGAAGTTATTATACTTTGAACAAAACAATGACAAAAGAGTGTTTATAAAAAAATAAAATGTTTTCCATGTTATTCTGTTATATTTTCACATTTATTGTTGTGGTAAGTTAATTTGCAGGTATCAGAAAAAGCCATATTTGTCTTTATGGGTACACTTAAAGAGACAGTGTCCTATTACATTGAACCCAACACATATCAAAGGTGACAAAAAGCCCTCACATCAAAACACATGGAATTTCAGAAATGCATTGGTCAGTAAGGGGTTTTCAAGTAACTCTGAAGACAAAATATTCAAAAATATGTACAATCATACAATATTTTAAAAACTGGTTACTAATACATGGTTGGGCAATCACTTCCCAATCCAGTGCAAAAAAACCCCACAAAAACAGACAGATAGAAAAAAAGGGCATCAAAACAATGTAACTGCAAGATGTGATTCCATTTTGTAGAGGGTTAATAACATTGCACTTTTACTTGTTTGCATATGACTAGTAATGTGTTTTGAATACATCTTAATAACTCTCCATGTAAACTTGTGTGTAGATGTGTTTAAAGTGGATTAATTAACCAAACAGATCAACAATGCGCTTCCTGATTCACAATATGAATATGAGTCTGGATAATGTCAATAATAAAATGTGTTAGACTGCTTCCATATGAATTATAGGTAACTATTTGAATCCTATAAAGAGTGTAGCAGACGATACATAATAGTGGTGGGTATTATAGGAAAATTACACTAGGAAGGGTTTCTTCAGACACTATAATAATACATAAGCCTGAAAATGGAGTGGATAAAAATGTCTTCAGTTCCCCACAAACAAGGTATTATTTTACCATAATTCATATTTTAATATTTCACAATTACGGTTAAGGCTAGTGTTAGGGTTCCTTTAATTTTATTGCATCACCAAGAACTACATGTCCCAGTCTGCTTAGAGGATGTTACACTCCAGGGAAAATAGCAGTCAACTTTATCAGGATTAATGTGATTAGTGGTTGGCCTATTGTTTAGCACATCCATAACAGACTTATCACATCACACGACAGACCAATCCCAATAACTCCAGGGATAATGATCCAAATATAAATTAAATGTATGTGTGAATGTGTGTATATGAATTTGAATATGTGCGTATGAATTGAAGCATGTGTTCATATGAATGTCTGTGTATTAATGCTGAGCATGTGTCTATATGAATATTTGTGTGTGTTTATGAATGTGAGTGTGTGTATATAAAAGCTTGCCAATGTGCACAGGAAAAATCTTAAAGAAATTCTAATACATGAAAGAGAACATTAGTAAGTCCAAAAAAACAAAGATAATACTAAGTTCCTTTGTATGTTATAGTTTTATTATTGTGACATACCAAAATACATGCTCAAAATAGTGTTACTATTGAAAGTGGGAGCAAAATAACCAATGCTTGGCCGATAGCAAATACACCCAAATCCGCCTACTTTGTATCGTTTTACTTTTGAAAGATGGGTGCCAGACAAAGTTACTTCATCAACTAGAACATTTTGTGTAAATAAACATCTGAGGTATACTAATAATTTTCTTCAAAATGCGTAAACACATTGGCATAAGATAGTGCTGCATTTGAGCCCATTGCAGTCTTATCTAGCAATTATTTCCATATCTTAAATAGTTCTCCAAAAGAGCAGGAGCAAGAACTGACTGAGGAGTTCAAATCAGAATGCGCCAACTGTATAGCTGTTGTTTGCAAAGGACCATATTGAGTCTCACTCTTTAATATACGTCTGTCAAAGTTGAGCTATCCATGTTTTGAAAACTCCCCACTGATCCAGGAAGAGCCACATTTTGTAGCTATATTTTGCTCTGTAATATTGAAGTTTGGAATATCTCACACCAGTGCTCACTGTCATTACACAGCACACAAAAGCACAAGTGAGCCATGCAGAATGTCTATTTGTGTCTGCTGTCCTTAATGCAGCCTTTCCCCCATTGCTGAGAAGTAAGAAGTGGGGTTTGAAAGACAGAGACAGTATAATTCGCTCTCTCTTTCTGTAAGTTGCCTATGAGTGTAACTCGAACCAGTCTCAGGAAGATCAAGGCATGTAGGATGTCCTGGTGCTGCATTGCAGTTAGGGCTAAGTACACTGCACTACGTCAGTAACACTGCACTAAACTATTTCATTGCATGCTGTGACGACAGCAACCATGCAAATCAGGAGATGAAAACGTGATCTATCAATTGAAATAGTAGACATCATCTTCCTCAATATTGTCAGTGAGGCAAATTCAAAAAGTCTTCTATAAAGAATGAATCTGGCAGTCTAGAATATTTAACTAAATTGTCATGCTTTCTAAATGTACTAATAATGTCCCCCCCCCCCCAGGATATCCTCTGTCACACAATACAAAGTTTACAAATGGACAATTATGTGTTAATAACTTTCACTTGCAATGTAGTGAGTCATGCAGCTATGTTTTGACAGTTCTGTCCAACAATCAAAAATCACATCCATATTTAATGAAATTATCCGAGTGATTGTTTTTATTATAGTGACTTAGGCATGATGATGTCAAGCGGCTACATTTTATCCTTCTGTTTCCTTTGTGTTTTGTTGAGTCATATTAACAATGCAACAACATAGATTGGGACAGAGATCATAACAAAAAACTGGTACATTATGTTTCTGGATTCATTCTGT